TTTCACCACTTTGGCCAGTCTGGTCTCAAACTCCTGAACTCAGGTGATCCCCCTGCCTCGCTCTCTCAAAGTGCTAAGATTAGCCACTGCTCCTGGCCCCATTTTGCTTTTAAACACATATCTGCAAAGAGGGCTGTATACCACTCCAGGGGGCCTTCCACACAATTTGATCCATAAAAAAAATTCTTTGTAGGCCCCAAGAGTTTTACCCTAAAACAGAGTTCTGTTGACTTTTACCCCAACAATGTAAATTAAGAGTTTATCTTCACAGATGTGGGACAAAGACAAGAGTAAAAATCATCCCTCGACTCACCCCCAGGCAAATGCATATTTGACTTCTTCCTCTACTTTATGTTTATTTTTATCTTATGTAAAATGCAGATTTACTGAGCATGAGATGAATGCATAATTGACTACTCCTGTATCACCTCAAAAGGCAACATATGTATTCAGTGAGCACGAATCAAAGCCTCACAAGAATGTGACTACTCATCTCACTGCCTATCCTCCCTCGTTTTACTCCTTCCTCCTTCCTCCCTGCCTGCTTTTTTGCCTTTTAATACCGAAGCTCTTAAAGCTCCTTTTGGTGAAAGTGCAGGATGCACATCCGACTGTGGCGTCTTTCTGTTTTTCCTAGGTGCATCCTCAAACTTGGCAAAATAAACCTCGAAGTCAACTGAGATCTGTCTCAGACGCTTTTTGATTTACATGGTAGCAAAATGCAGCTCACTTGGCAGGTAGCCCCACATCAACTCGACTCTGCCAGCCACATCAAGGCAACAAAAGCCAGGACGCACTGCTGCTTCAGTGTCCAATATTCTTGAAGAGAAGGGAAATGCAAACGTGAAAATTAAAAGTACCATTGAAAAATCAAAGAGAATAATATTCTATCGTATGAATAGACTAAAATGTGTTTATTTATCTGTTGAGGAACATTGTTTTTTTCAGACATAGTCTCACTCTGTTGCCCAGGCTGGAGTGCAGTGGTGTTATCTCAGCTCACTTTAACCTCTGCCTCCGGGGTTCAAGCAATTCTCCTGCCTCAGCCTCCTGGGAAGCTGGGATTACAGGCACCTGCCACCACGCCCAGCAAATTTTTGTGTTTTTAGTAGAGATGGGGTTTCACCATGTCGGCCAGGCTGGTCTCGAACTCCTGGCCTCAAATGGCCCACTTGCCTCAATCTCCCAAAGTAGCTATGAGCTACTGTGCCTGGCCTGAAACCTTGTTTTCAATTATTTAAAATATATACCTAAGAGTATAATTGCTGGGTCATAAAGTAATCCTGTATTTAATTTTGGAAGTACCACCAAACTGTTTTCTACAACACTGTCCACAGAAAGGAGTGGAACACTGACACATACCACATCCACCGTCCCCAAACTTTTTGGCACCAGGTACAGGTTTTGTGGAAGACAGTTTTTCCATGGATGGCGGGGGGTGGGAGGTGGTTGGTTCAAGCACATTGCATTTATTGCGTACTTTATTTCTACTATTTTTACATTGTATTACGTACTGAAATAATTATACAACTCACCATAATGTATTTGCTCACCTCCTGCTGGTTGGCCCGGTTCCTAACAGGCCCAGGCCGGTATGTGGCTTGGGGAGCCCTGTGCTACAACAGAGGTGAACCTTAAAAACATCATGATCTGTGAATGAAGCTACACACAGAAACCATACACACACAAAGGGATTGTGTAATTTCACTGATATGAAATGTCAAGACTGGGAAAATCCATAGAAACAGAAAAAAAATTAGTAATTGCCTAAGGGAATGGGGATAGATGGAATATAAAATAATTGCTAATGGGCACATGATATCCTTATGGTGATGAAAGTATTCTTGAAGTCAATGGAGATGATGGTTGTACAACATTGTGAATGTACTACATGCCACTAATGAAAATTTTATGTTATGTATATTTTACCACCGTAAAATATTATAAGAATAAGTGGGGAAAATAAATAGGGCAATAAGAGTATGGAAAATAGTCAGATGCTATCAATGAATATTTTATTTTGTCTTACCTTAAGCCAACAGTAAATAAGATACAACTGGTGGCAAAGTTGCAAAACACCAATAAATAAATATTTCCTCTCCAGGGGAAGGTATCATTGGGAGAAGAATTTTTCTTCTATTAACATCTATTAAAGGCTGAGCACTGTGGCTTAACATCTACTAAAGGCTGGGCTTGGTGGCTCACACCTGTAATTCTAGTGCTTTGGGAGACTGAGCCAGGAAGCTGGCTTGAGACCAGCCTGGACAACATAGCAAGACCCCATTTCTAAAGAGATAGAAAACTTAGCTGGGTTTGGGAGTGTGCACCTGTAGTCCCAGCTACTTGGGAGGCTGAGGTGGGAGGATCACCCGACCCAAAGCCTTCGAGGCTGCAATGAGCTGTGATTGCACCACTGCATTCCAGCCCGAGTGAGAGTGAGGATCTGTCTCTAAAAATAAAAAATAATAAAACACAAAAACCATCCATTAACATCTGACATGCAGCTTCTCCGCAGCAATGTCCTTATTTTGAGGTTATCAAAGAGACATACATAGCATGGAAATTGAGCACTTATTAGAGAGAAGGCTAAATTTTCCACAATAAATCAAGCTAAGGCATATATTTAACATCCTGAGAGATGATGAAATAGAAAAGAAACAGACTATATTTCTGCCACAATCAACTTTATATTGCTGCAGTGGCCATGGCCATACTTCAAATAAATAAAATATATAATATATAGTGTAGATTTAAGTGCTAAGGAGAAAAATAAAGCAAAGGAGTAGAGGGCATGTTTTCAAGATAAACGTGCTTTTGCAATTAAAATTTGAGGATGACATGCCCCCAAATCACCCCTTGATACATGAAGAACAATGTCCTAATATGTGTCCCTTTAAAACTGAAAGAATAAAAGCATATCATTAAATGTGTGTGTCTTCCAATTACCAAACTGAGGGTTTTTCAAACAAACCACATAATGCAGTGGAGTCTGAAAATAATTGAGTGAAGGAAACTAGAATCCGATAAAATCACATAGCTTTGCAACTTTCTTAGAATCCTCTAGGCAGAACAGCTGAAAGGTTTCTCAGTTTACAATGAGATATCAGGTCAGAATACTTGTAAAACACATCACCCAGATGCCTTTTTAACGCCCCCCTTTCTCTCTCCCTATCTATCCATCCATCCATCTATCCACCTATCTATCCACCTATCTGTCATGTATCTATCTATCCATCCATCCGTCTATACATCTATTTACCTGTCTGTCCCTGTCTATCCTATCTATGTCTGTCTATCCCCCTTCTCCTTCCCTCCCTCCCTCCCTCCCTCTCTCCTCCCTCCCTCCCTCCCTCTTCCTGACACATGATTTTTAAAATGTATTTATTTTCCCACATGTCAAACGAAGTGGCATTTGGAAATTTCCTCTTTAAGACTGAAATACCCAGAATACAAGACAGCACAGTTCTGCAAGGCCAGAGTTTAATTGTGGAGAAAACAAGACGCTTCCATTAATATGTTGACAAAGTATTTAAAAATGATAATCTGAAAGAAGAAACATTAACTTACAAAGAATTCTCTTTAATAGTTGAATATTGATTTAAAAATTTATTGAACAGAGCATACTGAACCAAAACAATGCCTACCCATCTCTATCTACCTATCTTTACCTATCTATGCATCTATGTATGTATGTATGTTTGGATATGTGTATGTATGTATGCATGTATGTATCCATCTGTCCCTCCATCTGTCTATCCATCCATCCACCTAACCATCTATCTGTCCATTTATTCAGCCATCCATTTATTGATCTATCATCTATCCATTCAATCTTCTACCCATCTATCTATCCATCCATCTATTCATCCATCTATTCATCTATCCATCCATTATCCATCCATTATCTATCTCTCCATCTATCCACTTATCTATCTACCCATCTCCCTACCTACCTATGCATTCATCCCTCCATCAGTCTATCCATTTATCTATCAATCAAATTCCTCAGCCATTCATCCATTTATCTATCTGTCTATCCATCCATCCATTTATCCAGCTATTCCACTTATTCATATATCTATCCATTATCCCATGCATTCATTGATCTATATAGCTATATATCCATCCATCCATCCATGCAACCATCTATCCATCTATCCATTCATTTGTCCATCTTCCCATCTATCTATCCATCCATTCACCCATCTATCCCTCTCTCCATCCATCTATCCATCGATCTGTCTGTCATCTATCTATTCATCCATCCATCTATTCATCTATATATCCATCTTCTATCTATCTACCTACCTATCTATCCATCCATCCATCTATCCATCTATTTACCTGTCTGTCCCTGTCTATCCTATCTATGTCTATCTATTACCTATCTTGTATCTATTTCATCTATCCATTATCTATCTATGTATCTATCTTCTGATATGTGCATATGTATGTGTATGTATGCTTGTGTGCATAATTGAATTTTTTAAATCTTGGCACAGAATTATTAAATGCAATTTTTCTGCTAAACACCTTTTATTTTAATAAAGCATTGCTTTTCTTTGTACATTGGTGTTTACCATAAATTAAATCATAAAACCTCACTCTCTATGTAGTGATATCATTCTAATTTTATGAAAGAATATTCTGAAGCCCAATGTACGTTACTTGCTGAGGTTCACACAAATTTAGCAAATAGTGATGCCAGTATTTGTCTGGTGGCAAAGTCCAAGCCAGTAACCTATACACTCTTTAAATGAACTTATTTATTTGTCATGGACATTTATTATGATATTTCTCACCTCCTTATGTCTTTGATCCAAAATGATAAAGGATATTTTCTAATTTTGCATACAAGAGTATTATTTCAATGCAGTGATGTAATATTTATTAACTACATATAAAGTTAAAATATGATTAAAATATAAAATATTATTAAGCATCAAAATATTTAAAACTGCATTTTAAAATATTATTGCATATTCAAAGTAATTCCAAGCATGCAGAACCTGTGCAAATTTGGTGTGTACCTCAGTTACTCTTTAATCTCAAAGGCCAATATAGTTTATAAAAAGGTAATTATTGAATAACCTGCTTTTAGTTACACACTAAGGGTTTAATGAAGGGTTCATAATGAGTCTGTCTTTGTTCTGTTTACTTTTTGTCTTTATTATATATAATCAATAAATAATCCTGCTTATGCAGCTTACTTTGCCAGATAAAGTTGGGTTTAATTAATTAATTACTGACAACTAGACATCCACATCCCCAGGGTTTACATGTGATCTAAATTGAATTAACCAATTGACTCTCCTGTCACTAATCTTTGCCAAAAGTCATTTGTAGGATCCTACTAACTTTACTGTTGTATTTGTTTTATCTGAATGGCATTTCCAGTAAACACTCATTGCATATTGAAACACAATTTCTTATGGGGAAATGAGCATGGATTAAAATAAATATGTTTTAAAATAGTATTTCTGAAGAAAACATAAATATACAAAAATAAACAATGAATTCAAGTAATGTGAAATAAATACTTTTTCATTTATTACCTACTTATTTTCAGCAGCTAATTTGGATGTCATGGCTTTGATGGATGCTGTTCCATTGTTTAAAAAATAAGTAAAAATTTTAAAAATTCTATCTTGACAATATCAAAATTAGATTTTGGTTTCTCCATTGATAAGAATATTTTTGACAGTGAAATACTAAATGAAGTTATATAATGTATTTATAAGAGAAGACTTGAATAAAGTATGGCATTCTAAATAGCTTACAGTAATAAAGAAATGGATAGTTAGGTTCTGTGTTATGCACTACCTATTGTTCATGTTTGTTTGGGACTCTAAAATTGCAAAAGATACAAACATAGATTGCCACTATGACATATTTGCCTTAAACTTTTTAAAAAATAGATACCTGTGATAATCTGCTATTTTATAGTTTTCATAAATTTCCTAAAATAATTAGCTCAGGAATTTTATATAGTAAAATGACTACACATAAATATACATTCAAATTTTAAGAACATTGATGTGTAGCTATAGAAATTAGTAACCCTTTTTTTATTCATCAGTCCCTGACCTTCAGACAGAAGAGAACAGTCAAGGATGGAGTTCGCTTTGGAGAAGAATTCTTCTTTTCCTTTCCATTGTGAGTATCTTTCTGTGAAAGATATGTGCCTGACCATGGAATGTTTAAAAAGTGAGAGAAATATAATATGATCTGCATCTGTCATACAATATATAAAAGGATGACCATAATTACCCATATTGCTAAAGAATGCTGTGACTACATATATGGCTGGTAGTGTAAGTTTTGATTTTAGTAAGCTCAATGATTGCATGTGCACACACACACAGACACATACACACACACACACACACACAAAGACAAAGAAGAGAAATAGAAAAGGGGAGTAAGGATCTGAAACCTAGAAAAGGAATATGAGAGTTTTTCTTTAATCAAGGCAGAAAACATTTCTGGAAGGCAGTTGGCAGTAAGCAAGTCCATATCCTGCATGAATTTGGTGATTGCTATTTATAACGAACATCATCAAGCTTCAACTGTGTATTCACTTGAAATCCACAGCCTTGTGAAAAGTTAGGAACTGTTCAAGAAGATTGCCAGTTAAGAAGCTGATGAGGTTTGGGAAAAAAGGAGTAAAAATGCTTAAAAACCTGTTAATTGGTAAGCATGTATTCTGTGTCAATGAATTTCTGAGATGAGTGATTAGTTACACACAATAAAGCAGCTACAATAACAGACAGCTTTGACTGCTTATGTCCCTTAAGACACCTAGAAATAAATATACAAACCTTCAAGAAAATTAAAAATTGTACAGAATAGCAACATGGAAGATTAACGGGTTGTAGTTTTTCCTATTAGAATCACTGGTTATTTCTATTCTGGTTTTCTCATTCCAAGAAATTGACATGAATCTATTTTCTTAAATGTTTTACTGGCTTCAGTAATTATTGCATTTATTTATTTAAAGTTATTTATCAAGCACATGCAATGAGCAAATGTACAGTTATATAAATATATATGCTCATATTCAGAGATGCACATATAAATATAGCATCAGGAATCAGCAGAAGTACTTCTCTCTGCATAGACTTCTAAATACGCCACATTTAGCAGTCAGTAAAATAACGTTCTGGTTACAGGTTACAATTGTATTCTTTCCGTGAGAAATACAAATGAATAAGAAAATGGTCTTGTGAAAGCCAAAGATACAATAAAATAAATATGAACCTGCTTAGAAAACGCAATCATTTAAAGATGGCAGAGCATGGGGTTCAACAGCATGAGATGGCATTTATAGCAAAACAGTAGTACTCAAGTTAGTTTACTAACCTCTAAAGATAAAATTAGACACGTTACATCAAGGCACTCAGTGTAATTATGGAGAAAATACTATGTAACCGCACCCTTAATGTCATGTTGCCACTTATTTAATGGACATGTGTGGAATACTATGCATAGATACTATATGTAAGATACTATGGGGTAGAACAGAAAGGACGTAGAAAAATATGCAAGCAAAGTCACCAAATAATGAGGTCTAAGGTGAGAATTCAAAGATGGAGAGGACCCCATAAGGCAGAGAAAACAAAACTAGAAAGAGGAACCTCAAGAGTACAAAAGTGATTGGGTGCCACAGCCTATGTCTGAAGTCTCAGCACTTGGGGAAGTAGAGGTGAGAGGATTGCTTGAGCCAAGGAGTTTGGGACCAACCTTGGTAATAGAGGAAGACCCTACTCTACAAAAAAAAAAAAAATTTAACAATTAGCCAGTGGCGGTGGAATGCACCTGTAGTGCCAGCTACTCCGGAGGCTGAAGTGGGAGGATCGCTTGAGCCCAGGAGTTCCAGCCTGCAATGAAGATTGCACCACTGCACTCCAGCCTGGGCAACACAGCATGTCCCTGTCTCAAAAAGGAAAAGAAAAAAGAAGAATAAAATTTTGAAAATATTTTTTTAAAAAAGACCAGAGATATTCTTGGTAACAAAAAAGAAATTAAACAAAAAAATTATTTTTGTGTGTTCCTCGGCAATTTCAAGCAATTAAGAAATTGTAAGCCAAGAACAAATTTCTAGAAATAACAGCAATCAAAAACAAGCAATCATTGTAGAAATCTGAAATAAGATTATTTAAAAAGAATAGAGAAATTAAGAAATGTAACAAGTTGTACCTCTTTAATTGTAATATAAACGACGTTTAGCAATATAGTAATCAAAAATAGGTTATAGAAAATGTGAGGAAAATAATTAAAGAAAAGGAAAGCAGGTCTAGGAAGTTAAATACCTATCTTACCAGAGAAAAGTAGAAATAGTGATGAAAATTAGGGGGGAAAAGAAAAGCTTTTAGTGGCTAACACCTGTAATCCCAGCATTTTTGGAGACTGAGACTGGCAGGTTGCTTAAGTTCAGGAGTTAGAGACCAGCCTGGGCAACATGGGGAGACCTCATCTCTCCCAACAATACAAAAAAAACTAGCCAGGCGTGTTGCCACATGCCTATAGCCTCAGCTACTCAGGAGGCTGAGGTGGGAGGATTGCTTAAGCCCCAGGAAACGGAGGTTGTACTCCAGCCTGGGCAAGGGCAACATCCTGTCTCAAAAACAAAACAAAATAAAAAGACCAAAAAAAAAAGAAAAAAGAAAAAGCCTTTCTATTTCCTAAAGAAATATTGAAAATTTTAGGTTGAATTTTTAGAAAGAGGGAGGAGAGAGATAAAGAGACAGGAGGTGGAGGGGGGAAAGAGAGAGAGAGAATGAGAGAGAGAGAGAGAGAGAAACAGGAAGAAGGGAGACAGGGAGAAAACCTTTACAAATACTAATAAATATTAATTATGTAGAGGACTTCCACAACTGAAAGAACATGTAAAGATCTACAGACAAGTGTGAAAAAAAAAGTAACTTCCCAAGAAAATTACTGATATATTTAGTAGGCAAGAAGATATGCAATGCTGTAACAATTTCAGAAAATATGTTTTAGCTTAGAATTTTATATACAGTCAATGAAGGAGAGGTCAAACTAAAGACACAATGTTTAAAAACTGACTGCCCACATCTGTTGTGAAGGATGAAATTTTTCTCAATTGTGTACCTTTATCAAAATTGTATTTTCGTCCTCAGGATTCTAACCTACCAAGTTTTTAATAGATCCATCAAACAAACCATAACATGGATGCCTTTGACTTTGATTATTAGAAGGCCAGACGCAGTGGCTCTCGCCTGTAATCCCAGCACTTTGGGAGGCCGAGGCAGGCGGATCACGAGGTCAAGAGATGGAGACCATCCTGGCCAACATGGTGAAACCCCGTCTCTAATAAAAATACAAAAATTAGCTGGGTGTGGTGGCATGTGCCTGTAGTCCCAGCTACTCCGGAGGCTAAGGCAGGAAAATTGCCTGAACCTGGGAGGTGGAGGTTGCAGTGAGCCAAGATCGCGCCACTGAACTCCAGCCTGGCACCTGGCAACAAAGCAAGACTGTCTCAAAACAAAACAAAAAAAGAATTAACTTGTAAAATGTAAAAGAGACTTACACACATATATACAGAACTGCATGTAAAGGATGAAAATCTAAAAATCTTTATAATAATTTATTTATTCCCACCAGAGACTTAAAAACCTAAAGATTTCTAATGTTCGGTCTTTACATTATGAAGAGCCATTTAATGAGGTTTAAAATAATTGAATTAACAGATTTTTAAAAATATATTACTTAATATTAGAAAGGTCTTCATCAGGAAAACCGAAATTAATAATATAGTTAGTGTTAGATTTTTAAGTACTTAAAATTTTAAACCTTTATACATAAAATACTAACATAATTGTCAAAGTCTGTTTTAAAATATTTTTTCAAATTTATAACTGTCTTCCTTTCATGATATATTTTGCATGAAAAAGTTTCTAATTCTAACAGAATTAAATGTGTTCATGCTTCTCTTTATGATGAGTACTTTCAGTGTTGTTTTAAATAATTCTGTGGGGAAAAGAGTTAAGAACAGTGCTCATTATTTTTGACAGCAAGCATTTCCTTTCAATTTAATTATAGTAGTCAAAAC